TTTTGAGTTGAGGGAGCTCTGAGAACTTGCTATCATTAGGACAGCTACGATATCACCGGACGATTGTTCGCGCTTCCCTACTCCTCGCATAATCGGGGGCTGTGTCGCTGATTGATTTTCATTCATTTTTCTTTCGTTTCTTTGTAGTAGCGAGTCACTGAGCACATAGTTCCAAATTCAGCTTTTGCTTATCTCCTGCAATATGGGATGGTGCCTTTAATTGTACTCACTGACTGCGTTTAGTCTGCGAGTTTTCGATTTACAGGCTATCAGCTGAGCAACTCGTCAAAAAACTGAAATTCGTTAAAATGCATGCATAGTTTGTGTTGCACTTGCGGGTGCGATATGAAACGGTATGTCTGCTCCCTCCAGCAGGCTGAGAACTTAGCTGAAGCGTACTTTCTCGTTGCAAGTACCTTCATCAATATGGAGGTATTGTAAAGTTGAATGTTTGTCGGGAAAGCATTTTTCGCCTTCTTCATTTTACTGCTAGATCGCTTGTTCTCCAATCAACACTGAAATGACTTTCGATGAATGCAGAGACCATTACGGTCACAGTGGTCAATGCCCCCAAGATTGAAGGCACAGTTCACGATAAATTTAGGGTACCCGTTTTCGATGGGAAATGATAGATCCACTCCAGAATAGTGCGATGATAACGAAGAAAGCGCAAAAACGACAAATAAAAAGGTTCAAAAAAGAGAAGGAAAGGGGGGCTGGACGAGTTTCACAGTGAAAAAACGTCGGTAAGGGAAATGCGACGCAATGTCTGCATTTACACACAACATACCCTAACTGCTGATTTTGTCTTCACTGTTGGGCAAACTCTGGGCGAACAGCTGATTTCGTGCTGCAGGGTGGATCCTGATGCGAATGTGACTCTGTACCCGTCTACATCTCGTATGACGTGACATCGATCGAGGGGCGGGAAAGCCAATAACGGCAACAACAAGGCTTGCACCGGGAAAGCCAATCACGGCAACAACAGGGCTTGCACTATGCCCTGGACGTCGAGATTGGGGGAGCGAGAAGTCCCCTCCTAGCAACCATGGGGGTCGCTGTGTATTCCTAAAGGACGAACTCAGTAACCTTTTTCATCGTGAACCGTGCCTTTGAAAGTAACTGCAATACTGTCATCAGTGCTACAGTCGAGTCTTGTGTACCATGATTGTTGCGTTAGACAAATTCAAGAGACTTGATTAAAAGGTGTTTTAAGGATGGTCAGTCGATGATAGCTCTAATTTCCTCTACCACGCGATTTCAGAAAGCGACGGCTAAGATTTTTCCATTGCGATTCGTATGCCATCTTGAGAGCGTTTCTTTTCTATTCGTTCAAGCGCATTTCCTTAGCTCAATTGCGTCCAGCGGACGCTTTTTTCAGAAGCTTAAAACCTCTTTATCAGCCACTGTGAATGTAGATTAGCTGCACTTCCATTCTGCCCGCCTTCAGCAGCGCTCTAAGATTTCCGTTGAAAACTGAGTTTCGATAGTTGAAGAGAACTAATTTTGGTTCACACTCAAAATGATGTTCAGGCTCGACCGATTATTCCACCCATATTGATATGTGGGGTGTCGGATGCATTCTGTTCGAAATGGTTGCTGGTCGTGCGTTATTCCCTGGTTCAACAACTGACGAACAGCTTGGCCTGATCTTTCGGTACGCAGTTGGTACTACATTCGTCTTTAAAGCTATACAATTCCTTTGTGGTTCTTTAGGACTCTTGGATCACCAAGAAGCGATCGCCATGCGACTATCTGCGCTCGTCCCGCGTATGCTCCCTTTGCGCAAAAGGTCTATCATCCAGAGCCACTGATCCGGCAAATACCACGAATGGAAGCGCAAGGCTACGATCTATTGTTGAAATTCTTGCAGGTGACTTTTCTTAGACATTCATTCACAGACACAGACATAAAGGAGGGCTTAAATTTCTACAGTGTTTTACGACTCTACTACTAGGATTTCTCAGATCGGTGCTGGTACCTAAGTTAATCCATCTGTTTCAGTATGAAGGTCGAGACAGAATATCAGCTCAGGACGCCATGCACCACAACTTTCTCAAAGTCCTCCCGCAGAAGGTAAACCTTCACTCCGAAAAGATTCACTCCTCAGGCACCTTAAGGGCACAGTCCCACGATGAAAATTGTTTCTGATGTTATGAGTTTGAGGGCTCCC